TTTTTTTACCCAGCCCTAGAGGACACAGACTTTTTCTGGACATAAAGAGAGCAAGCCTCACTTCCTTTACTAAGGTCACATATTTTTGAAAGGTTACCATTTCTGATGTTACAGGCTCATTAAATTAATAAGATCCAGAAGCATTAGAAGCCTGAACCTCCCTTGGAGCATTTTTGTTTTTAGACCCCTGTGTTGACTTGGTGTTCAGACGTATCCCTTTATTTGCTTTTTTTAAGGCTCTTTAACATGCTGATTAAAGGCCAGAACACAACAGACATAATTCAGTGTCCAGTTATAGAAAATTAGATGGATTTTGGTCAAATGAGAAAGTCCTGATCTATTTCCGTCGCAGCAGTTTGATGGGAATATCGTAAGTCAGACAGGAAGAGAGACTCAGTGACAAAGTAAAATCCCAAGGAAAAACAGCCAGGTTCTCCTTCATATACATTTGTCTGGAAACACACAGGCCGTCTGTAGCAGTGGGGGCAGACTCAGACACGCACGATCAATAAAACATTTCAGTAAACAGCGTACTTACTCATGGCAGGAGCTCAGGAGAACAGAAAAAGAATAAAGTAAAACATCTTCTTTGAGCTTGTTGGAGCAGCAACCAAATATTAATGTTCACCACCCTGCTGGTTGATGCTGGGGGAGTTTCTGGAACAAACTCGGTGTGTGGCGGTGCATAGAGTGACCCGCTACACAGCCAGTGGGACAGGAAAAAAGAAATAAATCCAACTTTTCAAGGATTTTCTTCTTTAGTTTACATTTAGGTCTTTTGGTGTCAGAAAACCTGCCTGTGTTCCCCGGAATAACAAGTTATATTTCAGCTCAAAATTCAATTAATTCCAACCTAAACATTAATCTTATTACAGATAGAGCACAGTGGTAATAAGCATTTCCCAATTTGTCTCAGTAGCATTCATGTTTTACTGTATTTATCATATTAATTTGATGTAATTAATGCTAATTCTGTTATTTTGTTGTTTTTTTAATAATTTTTTTAATTTGTTCAAATGTAGGAATTGATAATGATGTTAAATAATTATAATAAATATTCCCTTAATTGGATCTCTTCTGCAGTCTCCATGTTTCAGTTCTGGATAATTATGACCAGCAGCAAAATGAAAATAAGCATTTTTATGAGGCCACATGGTTCAGACTGAATGATAAATGACAGATCATCTCTCTTGTTTTCATGTAAATCTACTTTTTTTTTTCTTCACCTGCTGTCAGATTGTGTAAAATCAGTTCATGATGCTAATAGAATGCGATCCTTCTTTAACTGTGTTGTTTTTTTTTCTGTCTGAAGCCTTGAAACTGGGTCCAGAGGCGTTCCGTTTCGACGGTGGAGTCGAGGCCATCGCGACCCGACAGAATGAGAAATATTTCATTCTCCGCCCCGAGGTCATCGAGACCTACATGTACATGTGGAGATTTACCCACGACCCCAAATACAGAGAGTGGGGCTGGGAGGCTGTCCAGGTAAAAACATCTCTGCTATCAGGAGAAATCCCCGTCTATTCAGTTTAAAAATCGACACATCTTTTTATCTTGAAGAGTTAAAAAAAGTGCCTTGTCTCTGCCACGTTTTTATCAATCTTAGATTATGGTGACCTTTTTTTTATATAATTAAAGTTTTTTTATTTTGTTTTATGAACATGTAACAAAAACAACAAACAAAAACCAAAACCAGTCAGGTAAACATTGTTGATTGTAAAGCCACATTCACATCCATCACACATTGTCCTGGTTGCCACCCAATTACATACAGACTGGACACCTAATTAAGTCCCGCTTAGCTTGACCGATCCTGGTCTTGTCCAGGTTCAGATCAGAATTTGGTACTCCTTAAATTATTATGTTTATGTGTAAATGCGAA